TGGAGCATGGGAGGGGAGAACCCGTTGCAGTGCTCAGAGGCGCCAGCAGAGGGCAGCAGACACCGGCCTTTCTCCGTGGCTGGTGGCTCTCAGCTGATGGCGTGGAACCGACTGTCGTTTCTGTTTCAGGTCCAGATATTTGGGAGCTTCAAGACGGGCCTGTACTTACCCACCAGGTGAGTGCACGGCGCCTTCGGGGGTGGGCCTGTCCCTGGGGTGCATGCTTTGCCTGCTGGATTGTAAGCGTAGAAACAAAGCGGATGATGAAGCAGACACTCACATTCCTGTATGCGATGTGGGTTCCCAGGTGGATGTCACCCCGACCGCTGTCAACAGGCGCACAGGTCCCGCCTGCATTGTCGTGGTGGGTGGACGGGGTACCCGTCCGGGCGCAGCTCAGGTCCTCTGTGCGGTGGGGAAGGTTCTGGCCGCCTGCCCACAGCCCAGCAATGGGGCTATCGCCGGCCCCGCAGGCCTCAGCCCGTCCCCTAACTGCCAGGGGGGCCTTTGGGCGAAGCACCTGCGTGTACTGGGGGCCGTTTCACTAGGAGCTGCACCGTGACCCCGCGTTCAGCACCTGACCCAGTGGGTGGGTCCTGACTACCCTCCCCCTCCCCCAGCCAAGGCCGTAAGCGTCCACTCGGGGTCACTAACACTTGTCTCTGTCTCGGTGCTGGCCCCGCAGAGCCCCGAGTCACTTCCTAACAGTGTCATTGCACGCGTGAGTGGTTGGTGCCTTCACATCATTCCGAGCTGGAAGGGCACAGAAATAACCCCAGGGAGGGCTGGACGGCCTCTGTCCCGGGAGGGCGCTGGGCAGTCCCGGCGTCTCCTTCCGGACGGCGGCCGGGCCGAGCGTGGGAGGGCGCGCGTGCGGGTGTCGCCCTGTTTACACGGTGGCGGCACCTTGTCTCGCTGTCACCGACGCACAGCTCTCAGCCAGAGCCTTCAGATTCTATTCCCAGAGCTGGACGGACAGGAACCGTTGCGGGTCTTTTTGAGGCTCTGCTTTCACAGTCGCCCGTCTCCCGGGGCCTGGCCTGAGTGAAACGACTCAGGAGGCGGCTGTTAAAGTCACCAGCGCCCTCCTCGGGGCCCGGGGGAGCGGGCGGGGTGAGGGTCTCAGGCTGGCGGCCTCGCGCTCAGGGGAACGGCCCCTCTCGCTCTGCCCAGTGACATCGACCTGGTGGTGTTCGGGAAGTGGGAGAACCTCCCGCTCTGGACCCTGGAGGAAGCCCTCCGGAAGCACAAGGTCGCCGACGAGGACTCGGTGAAGGTCCTGGACAAAGCCACCGTGAGTCCCCGTCCCCTCGCCCGCCCTCACGCCCCAGCCCTCTCTCCGTCAGTGGGCGCCGTGCCGGGCGCACGGTGTGTGTGACACAGATGGCCTCCTGCGGTCATGCCTTCCCTTCCGAGGGCACGGTTAGCCCGCGGGCCCTGCAGGGATTTGTTCAGTGGAGAGCAGAGTGAGCCCAGGGTCTGTCGGGCGTTCCCAGCGGCCCGGCCGGGGCTGCTCTGCTCCATCCGAGTCTGTGTCCGGGACACGGGCCGTAACACGCTCTATAAGCAGGCCCCGTGTTCACCAGCCTGGCCTGGCCGTCGGGGAGCTGCCGTGGGAGCCCAGACGCCCCCCCGTAGGCACGGGCATCTGCACGCGATGTCCTGGGCACAGCGGCCTGGGCAGCCCCGGGGAAGCCTGGCAGCGGGCGGCCGGGACTGCGGGGTGCCCCCGCGTTTTCTCGCCTGTGGTGCACACGGAGCTCGTCTTGTTCTTATGAAGAATCCCACACGTCTCGTAGAAATCGTCGTCGTTTTCCATTTGGGGATGATTCTTGCGTTTCACTCCTGCTGGGTTGTTGGGGCTCCTGGCCACACTGACCGTGATGCAGGGGCCTGTGTGTGCTCAGCTCGCGGCCCTCTGACTGCTTGGCGGTCAGCGAGTAGGATGCTGTTTCCCCAGACGTGGCGTCAGGAAGGGCTCTGTCACTGGGTCTCAAAACTCAGCCGTAGGAGCGCCAGCTGCGCAGAGGGAAGTTTCTGGAAGGCGGGGAGATGGGGGGGGGGCGGCGCAGGCCTCAGGACCTCCTGTTTCAGGTCCCGAGATGGGTGGGGCCTCACGCCGTTCACCCTGCGCCCTGATCTTGCCCCTGGTTCGGGTAAAGCGTTTTAATGTTCCCTTTCTCCCCGTGCAGGTGCCTATCATTAAGTTAACAGATTCCTTCACGGAAGTGAAGGTGGACATCAGCTTTAACGTGCAGAACGGCGTGCGGGCGGCGGACCTGATCAAAGACTTCACCAAGGTCAGGGCTCACGGGAGGCGGCCAGGCCGCGCGTGGCGGGAGGGCCCGTCCTGGAGCTGAGAGAGGTGCATGCGATCGCCGGCGAGCGCTTCTCTCCGGAGCCCCCCCAAGAATCAGTCACTTACAACGTGGCCTCGAGTGAGAGCCGCACTTGAGAAAGCTGCTCTGCTCGTGGGAGAGGCGGGTGGGAGCCACGCTGGGGGCAGAATCTGTCCGTCTTTTAAATATATATTTTTACTGGTTTCAGAGAGGAAGGGGGAGGGAGAGGGACATGGAAACATTGGTGATGGGAGAGACTCATGGACCGGCTGCCTCCTGCATGCCTCCCCACTGGGGATGGAGCCCACAACCCAGGCATGTGCCCTGACCGGGAATCGAACCGTGACCTGGGTCGTAGGTCATCGCTCAACCACTGAGCCACGCCAGCCGGGCTCCGACTGCTCCGTTTTCTTGCGGAGAGTCTGCGGGGCCTGCCCTCAGGACGCCCCGAGCAGAGGCGTCAGGCTGCCGTGGTTACGCCCACATCTCTTTTGACAGTTTTTTTAGCAGGGTTCGCCTTTCCCTGTTTTATAAGCAGCACGCTAACTTCTTTATTCTTGTGTACATGTTCGGAGTATAGGAGAGAGAGAGAGAGAGAGAGAGAGAGAGAGAGAGAGAGAGAGAGAAAGGAAGGAGGAGCTGGGGTTTCTAACCATCACCCACACTGTGGGAGGTGCCGGCTGTGTGTAAATTTTCTTCTCCCAGAAATGTTTCCCATTGAGTTAATAGGAATAATAAGAATTCACTGGTGTGAAAGGATACCTTACACCCTGCAGGCTTAGAGTGGCTTTATATCATCACCTTTTTTTTCTTGTTTGTTCTCCTCCTAGATTTTTAACAAGAGGAATGGCACTCTGTACGCTCGTTATCTTATACTTTAAAAAAAAACACAACACATTTTTAAAAATTGTGTATGGATTTTTAGAGAGAGATTGATTTGTTGTTCCATTTAAATTGCATTCATTGGTTGGTTCTCGCATGGCCCTGACCGGGGATTGAACCTGCAACCTTTGCCTGTTGGGACGACTCTCTAACCAACTGAGCCACCCGGGCAGGGCCTTGTCTTATCTTTTTTTAACTTAATATTTTGGAGGTTTTTTCCTACCCACACAGACAGGCTTCCCTCATTTAAAGAGACTGTTTCTGGCTTCCTCCGTCTCGCCGAACAGTGCTGCTTTCTGTGCTTGTTCCTTCTCCTGCTCGCTGGCTCGGACATGACTTGCAGGAGTCCACACTTCTTTCTTTCTCACGGAGGCGTCGCGTTCTTAGCGCCAGGGAGGAACTGGGCATCCCTGGCGACCCACCCCCACGGGGGCGGTGAGAACAGCTGGGGCCTGGCTCCTGGGAGCGTGGAGTGAGGCTGTGCCCGAGGGGCGCGGGCTGCACTGCCCTGGCGCCGGCTCAGGTCTCCGTCCTCTGCGTGGGGAAGGCTCGCCTGCCCCGGGAGCCGCAGGTCGGCCGCTCTGGCCTGGGGGGCCCTGGTCTGTCTGGGGTTGCTGCCCGTGAATCCATGTAGCAAAATTTCTTCCTTGAAAGAATTTATATTTTAGCAGAAGTAAATAAATAATAAATGTGTAAACAAGTAAATATACAATTAATCTGCAATTAATTTCTTGGTAAATATCATTATGGCCCAGAAACCCGGGAGCCGCAGGTCGGCCGCTCTGGCCTGGGGGGCCCTGGTCTGTCTGGGGTTGCTGCCCGTGAGAAATGCCCCTCTGATGTCCGCTGACTTGGCGCTGGAGGCGTTGGGACTGCCCTGCGCTGCTTCTCTTACCTGTTTGCCACTGAGTATCGGGCGGTGGCGGCCGGAGTGACCGTCATCAGG